TGAATTAAAAATTTTCCAATTAAAATATTAATAACATTTGAATAATGAACAAATTATAAAATACGAACAATGTTTGAAATGCCAACTCGTTTTTAAAAATGTGATCATTTTTTTTAAGTTTTTGAACATTCTCTTGAAATTGTGTTTGAAATTTGAAACACTTTTTTGAATTGGTGAACATTTTTTGAAATTTCATGTATTTGGGGAAAAACACACAAAAAATGAAAATGTATTTTTTTCTAAATTTTAAACATATTTCGCGGACTCTGATCTTTATATTGTTTTAATTTGAAAAATAAATAACAAAAAAATATAAAAGGAAATAAAACAGAAAACCAAGCATTTTCTAAATTTTTACGTAAAACCCCCTAACATTTGGGTCAATCAACCCACAGTACATCTGGAATAAATATTTTTCAAAATAATCATATCTTTTCAACCCTAACTCCAATTTCAACATGTTATATATGAAATTTGATTAGAAAACTGTGTAGAATCTGAATATGATATTATTTTTATCTATTAGTTAATTAAATAAAATGCTATTTAGGATGCAACCTAAATAAATGGCGCATGATCCGTCATTACTTTGTACAGGCGTCAATTCATATTGCAAATGAACGTGCAACACACATTGCTCTGTGTGCTTAGCAAGGACAGAGTGAGGGAAATGATTACTATGATCCAATTACAATCTGTAGGCATGTTGTACTTCCACCAGCTTCTCTCTCTGTATATGTCCTATGATCGAAGACCCTAAGTACGTAAACTTTTTAGCGAGATCCACACACATACTTATCAACGGACTACACAATTCTTTTCCATAGTGAATACACAAATAATTTTTGTAGCAAATACATACACTAATAAAATTTATGAACATCAGAAGTAGATGAAGATTTAATTTCAAAATATCCAAACAATTCTTTTGATAGTCATGAACGTTATTATCGAAACCAATATATAGGACCTTAATTTGTGTTTTATCCGCTGCATGTGACAGTGTCACATATAGACTTTCTTAAATAGACTTAATTGATAGACGCGGCTTCCTTAATGTCGAACGACACCGACCAGTTGATATCTGAGCCTGGCCGTAGGTGCACACCATCATTATTACAACTAGTACAATGCCCGTGCGTTGCCGTGGGCCTTTTAATTTTTTTTTTGATTGCATACATAAGCATAATGCACTTCCAATTTCACATGTATAGAAAAAATTTACAGTAACAATCGAAAAATGTACTTAATGCAATGTATTTTCATTATTCCACTTCACTTGCATCTCCTAAAATATCAGGAATATTGTTTTCAGCTTCCTTCGCACAGTACTTGAGCAATTATAGTAAAAAAAAATCTTTGTTGACTTGTAACCATCCTGCATGAGTACTTCATACAGTTAGCATGAAGATTTCACATGAAAATGTAAGAACATGCAAACATAGAGTACTCAACTTGTAAATTGGATGAACCAATTTTTTACCATTCCATGAGAGCATATTAAAATCAAAAACAAAATAACTCAACACATTAATGGAATAAATAAATATTTATTATCTCGATTATAATGATGATAAATAATTGTATGTATCTTGAATATAAAAATAGAATAGACAAATATAAACAGCCTCCCACAAAAAGGAAAAGCCACTCCTCGTCTCTCACCACACAAGCACATCACACATCCCTTATCCCCACCGCATAAGGCACAGCTTCAGCAACTCACATGGCGTAGTCTTCAACTTCTCTCCCTGCCACTGCGCCTCTTGTCCCGTCACAACACGTCCCCCGGCTCCTCTCCCCACCAGCCATCGCTTCCTTTCCCTGTCTATGGGTCGATCTGTAGCATAGATAGTAGATAAGCGACAATTGCTGGCCTAAATTCTATTGTCTGCATGCAGTGGCTGATGGACCACGCCCTATCGAGGAAAGCAGCAACAGGGCCATAGGTAACAGGCATCGACAACGTCAGTGGAACCAGAAACAATGCCATCAAACATGAGCGGCGACCTTGACCAAGCTCCATGTAGGTTAGTTCTTCCCCTTTCTTGTCATGTTTTGTCTCTGTTCTCAAATGAATTATTCATATATTCAACAAGCGTAAAAAAAATCTCACGTGTATCTATCAAATAAAAATTGTGCAGCAAACTTGCAGTGAACTTCGCTGATAGTGAATTTAATTGCTTATATGATGAATGCAGAAAGAATTTCTAAGAGATAGCAACAACTGACATGAAGTAAATCCGGTAGTCCATTTTGATTAGAAATGTATGCTAATATGGCTCGGAGATGCAATAGAACAATGGAAGGGTTGCACTTGAAGATCAAATAGGACAACTCTGAGCAGTCTATGGTCACAAATTGTTTAGGCCCTAGATCTCAAGCATCAACTCTAACAGGAAGGGAATAAAGTGAACCAACTTCACAAGAAACAAAAATATAGGATTTCTATTTATATGATATGGGAGTCATAGACAATTGACATGTGATGATATTTCATGCTTGTGATGTGGTAGATAAATGCATCTCCTCGTCATCTCTCTATTCCCCTCCCTATCTCACAATCGTTTCTTCTTCATGTGTTTCTCATGGGGCCAAGCATAATCATTGATATGAATAGTCATTAAAATATTAAATCACTACAACCAACAATCCATCATCTGCTCCAAAATTGACCACAAGAAATAAACCAATTGCCAGAGACTGAAGTACAACCAAGGCTTCAGATTGCAAATAAAATAAAATAAAATGTGCTCCATTATTTTAGCTAAAATAACAAGAAAAGGTATTATTAGTTTTTTTTCGCATTGCCAGTGATGTATATGCTTGTAACATAATCACAGTCTCTTCAAAAATTAACACATCACTTCTCATTTTAGAAAGTTTTGAGTGTTACAGGCATATAAATATAAGACTTAACTCAATTGCCAATAATGTGAGCTTGACTGAACTAATGGATAGTGTGATGCATTCCCCAATCATTTGACTTTGAAATTTCAGAAATGGGAAGATTATAATTAACCAGTTGAAAGAAACTTCAGTCAAGGATGCCAGTACAACTCCACCGAAAAATGGTACGAGAGAACCTACTACGAGTAAATAAGGTGTCTGCAAGAACAAAACAACATAAGTATCTTTTTCTGCGTATTTCATTTGTCAGTACGGACCACTTACCAAAGCTTGAAATAAAATACATGTCCAAGGAAGAAGACAGAGAGTAGACAAGGGCACCATGGTGTGCGTCAAGGAGACAACCACCTTTCCCAAACTCAGTTGCCTGTTTGTGTATCTCGAGCCTTCAGGGACAATGTTCTTTTTCCTTCCTCATTTAGTGCCAATAGCAGGTGGGTTGGCGTTTGATTAATGTGCCTCAACTTTCTTCTGGAAAAGCACATTGGCTCAGCTTCAGCTTCACATGTAGTTAAGTGAAGAAGAAGAAACGATAACACGCGGTATATATGTCCATACTTTAGTCAGTCAAAGTAATTTTTTTGAAAGATTTGTTCAGCTATTGAATTTATAAGTTGAACATATATTATAACACTAAAAGCCTCTTCTGCTGCTCCATCAATAATAGTCTAGAAATAGCAAGCAAGCGAACAAAATACAGTGATGTGTGTGTAGATTGTCAGGATTCATCATTGCATATCATTTTTCTCTGGATACTACATATGCAAGCGCATGATATTGATATGCCAACATTTGTGAATAAGCGCCATATTTTCAGCTTGCTAAAACTCAAAAAATACATAAGCTCGGAAAATCCATGAAGGGAAGAAAACTCAGAAAATACAGAAGTTCTAAAACATGCAGACTTGTTCACACTAAATCAGTACCCACCTTTACCCATCAATACTCCTTGTTTATTTTGACGAACCGTCAAACCTGTAAGGACTTTGTTTACTTCTATAAATTACAGAAATAACATTATGAAAGATGCATTTAGGTACAGAGTTATAGGTAACTAACATGAATTGGATCTTGTAGGCCCTTGTGGCCCTGTATATATTTGTCTCAAGTCTTAACAGCTCCAGCTCTTAGACAAACATAAAAACAATGTTAAATTCAAATGCCTTAAAAACCACATGAATGAAATTTTGTATCGACCTGAACAACTATCAAGTCACACACCAAAAACGTCTATTACAGGATAGGAATTTTGTTGCTTCCCTCCAACCCCAATTGTAATCAAATTTTGACAAAAGAATGAATTACCACAGTGATCAATCACCTGAAGGACTTGAAATCACAGTGATCAATCTACATTCTTCCTCAGGTCTTTACTTTGAAACCGGGTTTGCCATGCTGCTTACAAAAGAGAAATGCTAGAAGCAGAAACTTCAGGTCTCATGCAAGTCCAAAGTCAAACAAATTCAGAAGTTACTTCCAGTTCATTTCAATAACTAAGCCAAAACTAATCAAGGCAACTCACATGTGGGGAAATCCTCAAATTTTTGCAGTCCCAACTTAGAACTGAGAGAACTAAGTGAAAGTGGCACCTTTCTTCTACGCACCGCAACGGTCCTGTATGAAAGAAAAATAAGAGTGTCACTTGGCTTCACCATGTACATATATTTTGTTAGCCCCACGACGCAAGTTGAGAGGTGAGAGGTGATTCATTTTTCAAGAGAATTAGTCAAACTCTAATATCTTCACCATGTACTGAACTTTGTCGAGATGAGATGATTCAGTTGCCTAGTTTACAAAGGTTAGATGATCTGATTTGATCAATTTTCCACTTAAACTAAATATCATTAAACTTCCGTTCAACTAAGCAGGGAGACATTCTGGGAGGCGTGGTGAACTTTTCTTCAGAGGTAGTTTTATGTTTCTTGCTTTTCACCTCTGCATTTTGGGCACCACCCAAATATATTTAACAAGAAAATACTTACAGTACTAAACCTGACCATTCCTTGGGAATACACAACAGGAATCATCAATATTTTCAACAACGGTCTGGTTGCCTCTAATGAGAATCACGCATGTTGAGTTTCCTTCTTCTAGGGGCCCAAGATTAGGTGCCTGCAAAATAAGTCCCAAACTAAGGTACAGTACGGAAAGAAAATATCCAAAATCGTATTAAAAATATGCTATAAAGCAGCGAATGCCAACACTCTGTTCTACCCTTTTCGTAATCAAGAAAAGCACCAACAGAGCACGAAGCCAAGTAATGCATAGCAGATGAGTAAGTGGCCTAGAAATGACAATACCTTTACAATTTAAAATCAAAGATATCAAGAACGTGTTCTGTCTACAAGTACATATGCACTTTAATTGCTTACTTCTAAGCTTCAGCATGTAATCTATTTCCAGGAACCTCGTTCAGCTAGCAAGATTTCTCACACGATATTATTTTTTAGAACCATATAGACTCAGTAACAATCAAAGTCAAAGAATGGTTGCCTGTGGTGGACAATCACAGTAACAAGATTTCTAGACTTAGTAACAATATTGTCAAGCATCCGAGTATCTTTGTTTTGATAATCAGGATACATGTGGTGGATAAACAGGTGCAGGAGCTCATTATTTAGGTGAGTGCAGATTTCCAAGTATCAGCACAAGAAACTCTTTTGTTCTAATACACTCTAGCTATGCCTGAAACAAATGGGATTATTGGAATGGTTTGCTCAACAAATTGTTACCCGAGTATTCACCTTCGTCTATTTTGAACAAATGGGCTGGATAGATTAGTTAGTATTACGCCAATGAAAATAAGATCACATGTGAAGAAAATAATATTCAAACCTTCTTTCTCCGACACTGAGAAATTTAGCTCTCTCACATATATAGATGAATGCATTATGAGAAAGTTTATCCCAACCACGAGAGATTGAGATTTACTCAATAGGATAGCTAAAACTTATAAGCAACCATTTTAGAAATGTAATAAAGACCTAAAGTGCACTCTCAAGTTAACTTTACCATAGTTTCTACAGAGGCCAATCCAATACCTCCCTGAATTGTTTAGCTCAGCACTGCTGGCCTCTTTTCCTTCATCCATATCACCCTGCAATGTAGGAAACTCCACTGAAATATTAAGATGTATATGAAAATCAGAATTCAAGCAGTTAGAATTTAGTAATGAACAATTAGGGTACTGCACAATATATTGCAATAGCTCATTAGGGTTAGGCCTCCGTAGTGAAGATGTCTCAGACAGTTACTAAAAGTGGCTATCAACCATGAATAAAATCGTTTCTTGCTTCATGGGCCAACTCTTACCAGAAACAGTGTGTGCTTCTGATTTCGGCGTGCAGAACACTACAGGCCGTGTGTCAGTTTATTGCTTGCTGAACATACCACCCAAAAATGACTCCACTACAAAAATGACTTCACCGGTGCTACCACCCATATCTCTCACCATCATATCAGGCAGGCAGGCGGGCAGGCAGTCTACAGACTCATCTCTTTCCACTACTGTTCTAGCCGGCATGCAGCAAACATTTCATTTCCCTGTCTAATTTTGGGAATTTTAGGCCTACCACTCTTGTGCACCATACTGACAAAATAGAAGACAAAAAACGTCTTGGCAATTTTTCACCTTGAAAGCTAATCATGTTTTACAAATGCAATTATGTTTTGAAGCAAAAATTATGCATGTTTGGGAATTGATTAGTGGTAAGTAAGAGAAGAGGTTAATTATTATTACCGCGAGGACTTTCTTGTACTCGGAGATGATGAAGGGGATGTAGCTGTGGATCTCGAACTGCTGGGACCTAGCGGAGAAGGGCACCAGGCAGTAGTTGTTGACGAAGTCGTTGCCACCAAGCGTGATGAGCAATAGCGACTGGCTCATGCGCTCACTCGTCGCGTCCTCGCCGACGTACGCCGCCAGCCTCTGCTGGTAGTCCTGGAAGTTCTGCAGCTGCTGCGCGATCCTGATGATGTTCACATGCACACACACATACAACATTATTGTCATCTCCATTGCATTATTGTAGATACGTATACATGATTCGAGCATGTGTGTGTGCGTGCGCGTGGAGCTTACAAATTGCACGCCTGTGTCGTTGAGGATGTCGACGCCGGTGGACGCGAAGTTTGCGCCGACGAGCAGGTTCTCGCCGCGCATGTAGGGGCTCAGGTACGGCAGCGCGGGCTCTGCCCCGAGGTACTCGCCTGATCAAACATGTGGCAATGTCAAGAACTACTCTCCCAACCGAAAGAGAAATGGTGCAGCGGGGAGGATAACGTAGTGCAGGGCCGGTCCTGAGATTTCAGGGGCCCTGGGCTAGGTAACACAAAGGGGCCCTAATGCCACATAAACATATGAGCATTCGTATTACCATTTTCTTGCCAAAAGATACTCCGTACACTATAACCTATGTTGCAAACATGTGACCTATGGAAAAAACAGGATCATAAACAATAAAGGTAAAAGTTGCTCGCTCTTGTGATCTTGACATCGACACTTATATTTCGAATATTAGGTAAACAAGGTACACTTTCATGCCCACTCAAATTGTTATCATCCTAAAATTTTCACTTGTTTTTTTTAACATTAACTAAAGCTAATTCTGGTTTTTTAACAATAACTAAAGCTAATTCCTCGTAATTCGAAGCAGTTGTATATCTATTCTAAAAACTGTCAAATTAGGAGCAGTCTTGCTAATTACAGGAGCAAGGCATGGAAGTAGCAAACAACACATATGACAGATGAAATTATGAACACTACTAATTAAATAAAAAATGCAAAGCAAGGCAGGGAACAAGGTACCTGATCTGTACTCACGTGGATGGCTAGAAAATTAGAAATTGCAAGATCTTGTTGCTGCTTACAAGTCACCAACAAAAATCCATGTTCCTCTTTTTAAATCCCAATGAACACGATTAATCAATCGGAGAGCGAGACAGGCAGATGTAGGAGGATGACCAGCACGAACGAACGAATGATTTGAGAAGCCTGTAAAAGGAGGAACGGGATATGCACTACATAGGAAGTACAGTAGATGGGAATCTGTAAAACACATTACAACCAAAACTCACAATTAGAGGAAGCGGACGGGAGGAGATGAAATAGAATCCAAGGAAACTGCGCGCGGCGTGCTGCCGTAATGCATGCGCCAAGCTGAGAAATAATTGATACATCACGAGGTCCTCGGCCAAGCGGCAGGGTCGTCGGCCAAGCGGCGATGGACGGAGTCCACGAGGCCCTCGCCTCGGCGCGCGTGGTAGGTTACTGGAGGCGATCGAAATTAGTTACAGTTTGCAGCATATGGAATCACAAGCTAGCTAGTACATGCTAAATAAAACATCTAAATTCAGATTGGAATATATGTATATATCTACAAGGTTCCAGAGTGAGGTTCCATACAAGAATTATGTTTACCTTCCCAGGATCTTTAATTGAGCCCTTCCCTCTGATAAAAACACGACAACCTGTAGTGGCTTCAATCCTCTTCAACGAGTTTCCCTTTGGCCCAAGAAGACGGCCAATAAAATTGAACTGAACAAGTATGGCAAGCAGAGTAAATAATGATTCCATACTAATAGAACACTTGCAAGCATGAATGAACGTACATTAGGGTAAGTATCTGTTGGTATCTCCAACCGCAAAATCTTCTTGACAATGTATGGAGAGGGGCTTTGTGGTGCTCCTTGCCAACCCACGGGTCCTTGAGGAAAACCTACCCTCTGATCAACAACAGAATTGTAAGGTTTTGCACATGCACATCTTAGAACATAATAAACATAACATAAAGATTGAGAGTGTGGACCGGTTGCGAATAGGTAGGACAAACATAACTAAAGATTCAAATTTGATTATGTTAAAGTCAATCCAGTTTCTTAATGCTTCCCAAACAAATAAGGATTTAGTTCAATACAATAATCTTAGGCGCCAAGTGTCTTTCAAGTGTCATTAAGGAATAAAACATGCATAACATAGCAGCTAGCCCTCATTAGATCAAGAGTTCAAGACACAATAATATGGGTTGCCTCTTTGTGGAAGAGCACGATATGAATTCTAAAACAGGAGCAATCAATGAAGAAATCAGCTTAATTTCCAGTTTACAGTCTTCCATAGTAAATCTATATACCTATAAAACTTCAGTCTGAAAAAGACTCCGACGCAATATTCGACTTGTTATAGGGATATCTGCTTATTTATTTACAACCACTGCGTTAAAGAGAATATCAAGAATATATCTTGCTTGTAAGTTCACCACATCAATCAGCACAAAAAAATTTACACCTAATTATCCACCTGGTGCGTTCTAAGAGAAAGACTTGCCAATTTTCAGCAAGCATTTATAGCAGATGAAAAGGCGGATCAGAATAAAAGGAACATGTATATATTTTCAGTGCACTGCGACTTTCGTTAGAAACTGAGGTGAGCGCAAACCAGAAGATGATGAAACAGAAAATTCAGGTGGCAACTCTGAATCAACTCAGCTTATGCCTCGGCGCTTTGTCTCCATGGCAAGTATGCAATTAAGAGAGATAGGCTTAAGGGTGAGACTACGACTACATTCCTAAGAATACCATGCGATCAAGTGTGATGGTGAGGATGCAACTTATCGTGCCCATACTATCATTAAATGGAATGATAGACAAGTATGCAATTAAAGATGCAGAAAGTAGGATGCAACCTTCACATCACCAAGAGAGGATCTTGTGTATCCTTCTTTTTCTTTTAAAGATTAATTACCAGCTGATGCGATCAGATATGATGGATGACTGAATATGCCACCCTCATGTCAGATAACTAACGCAATTACCTCTGGATGCGCCCCGTGGTTCCACGGGCCAAAACCATTTCCACGGAAATTAGGCATTGGGGGCGACTGATGATGATGCATCTGGTTTGGACGCGCCATCGGCGGCAACCTCTCAAAGTCCCCATCAGGCTGGTGCTTAAGCAAGGAGGACACACGCATTATCTCTGCCAGCATGAGTACAACAGCAAACATCAGCTCGCAGGATTAGCACGAAAACATACTCCATGAAAAACTTGCTGCTACGGAAGAAATGTATGAATCAAGCTACATACTACTACATGCTTTCAAGACCTACGACACACACACACACATACAGAAAGGCCTGCGCCTTGAGGCCAAAACAGAGTCAAGCAGAGCAAGTTTGCATCAACAAGAGAGAAACAAAAGAGAAACCTAGATATATGCATTGCTCACAACTATCCCCCTGATGAAACGCAAACCTGAACTCCCTCTGCCGACTGGCCTCTGACGCATGCCCTCCTCACTACTCTGAGTCCGAGGAGATGATTGCCTAATTCTGAAGAGGTTCAAGAATTGTATGAATTTTTTTAACTCATTCTGAATCTACTGCTGCAAAACTTACACATTCTGAATCTTATTCCGAAGAGAACATTGGGCAGGTAAATGTCCATCACCAGCATGAATTCTACATACAATCAAGGTTGGGGTGGGGAATGACGACACTGGTCGCGGCGCCGACAGGTAAAATGCAATATTACAGATGAACGGAGAGAAGAGAAGACACCGCCTCACCTTGAGAAAATCCGTGAGCGAACGGACCTGCCATGCGGCAGCTTTCCTGACCTTGGCAACCTTGTCGGCCTCCAGCCCGCCCTCGCCCCCGAGCATCTGAACGATGAGCCTGAAGGCGACCTCCTTCCGCTCGAGCGCCTCGACCTCCTACCCCTCGAACCTCTGCACCGCCTCCCTGATCCCTCCATTCTCCTCTCCCACCGTGTCCCCCCTTCCCCTTGGCCTTGGGCGGGCCCTCGTCGGAGCCAGGGAACTCGAGGAAGAGCCGTTGGGCGACGGGCGCGGTTTCGACGGGGAGGAGCTGCGGGGGCTTGTCGGCCGCGTCGGAGAGGAACTGAGGAAGGCTCGGGCGAGCGGCGCGGAGGCGGGGTCAGCGACGTCGGGCACGAAGAACGGATGGATCGGCGGCGGCGAAGGGATGGATCTGGTGCGAAGGGATGGAGGGCGGCGGCGAACGATCTGCTGTGCGGGTCGTGAGTGCTAGTGGTTCTCGCTCGAGGGCAGGAGGCCTCGCTCGTACGTGCGTGCGAATCGATGCCGTTTTTTTCAGCTGTTTTTTTGTCGTAGGTTTGTGCGTGTACAACGTGGAGGCATGGCTAGGAGGCTCGGTTCGACGAAGGTGGGAGGAGAGACGAAAAAAGACCAACGAAAATAAACTGTGGAGACTATTCACCAACTACTTCACTAGGAGTAGAGATTCAGAACCAAAATTGTATCAAAATGGAAACAATGGCTTGGATAAAAATATATTTACTCTCCCATTACAACACACAGACATATTTGGTACTCAGTAATAAAATAATAAAAGTTAAAAGAAAACCCTGTCCGAAAACTTTCCAAATCGGCTAGCTTGCAAGTGCGTGTAGCACGATTGATTTGCCTGCCCGTTGCTAGCGGTCGCAGCAGGCGATACACAACCACGCTGCGTGTACCGGTTCGGCCATGGCGCCATGCTAATATGAATGGACGAGGCTTGCCTTCGTCCGTGCTCCCCTTCGTGCTCCCCGTCTTCGAATTTCCATCCAACGGCTGCCCCGGTTTCCTTGCACGCTTATTTTTCTTTCAACTTTTTTTTGAGGGAATTTTTCTTTCAACTTAAAAAACACTGTATTTCCTTCCATCCTAATACTCGGACAACCCCGCAATGACGGCATGAAGAAGGCGTCGCCGGCGCGTCACGGACGGAAGGAGATGCCACGATGTCGTGCCGTCGCAGTCCTGCGAGGAAGGATTCTCCTTGACGCTGCTTCTTCATCTACAGCTTGTCGTCGCCACCGTCCACTGCGACCAGCATCGCCAGCGTGGGGCGGCGGGGGCCACTGCATGCTGTTGCCCGTTCTTCTTGCTGTGGTTTGTTGAATATCTCTTGTATAGGCAGTATATCGCATGTATATGTAGGATCATTTCCTACCTTGCCCCGCCTTCTAGTTATCATGTATAGTTGAGGCCATGGGTTGTTCATTGTAAATAGAGATAAATACACCCACGGTCACTCTAGTTGCGACTGAAGCACGATACGGTCACTAAACTCAGGAATACGCTCGATGCGGTCACTGAATACGATGTGACGTGAAAATATGGTCACTGTAGCACGTACACGGTGGGTACAGCGCTGTTGACCACGTGTTGACCAGTCGTCCAGGCCACATGGCAAACCGCGGAGGCGTCGTCGTCGCTCTTTTGCATTTACCCCCCCGGTCGCAACGGAATCCCCCCATTCACCCCTCCTCCAGTCACGTCGTCTCTTCATCTTCGATTAGAAACAGGGGAGCGGCTGCTGCATAGGCGACGTCGCCGCCCCCGGCGAACGTCGACGGTGCAGGCGAGTTGAGGCGTGGAGCTCGTCGGCGGTTGCACGGGCGGCGCCGTCGCGCATGCTCTTCTCGTCGGAGGCGTCAGGGATGGCCCCTGTTCGTCGCGCAGAAGGGGCGCCACCCATGTTTACACTAAGTTTCCGCCCCCAATTGAACCCGAGCCTATTTGTGTGTTTTGATCGTCAAAAGACCCCCTTTTAGGGTCGCATTTCCATCCTAGATGTGTTCTAGTTGCAAGGTAGGACTGATTCTTCTAGGGTTTTCAGTCAGGAATTGGGGGTTAAGGGAATTGGGGCTTAGGGTTTTTGAGGTGTTACCAAATTGAAGATAACATCGATTGTGATGCATATACCGTTGTTGTTGTTCTTTCAGGTCGTCGAAGCAGCAATTTTTTGGTGCAGATCAACCATGGTGGATTTTTCGTTGGGCAAGGCAGTAACCGTTCTTATGTAGATGGACGTGCCATTTGGTATGATCATGTTGAAAGGGTCACCTGGTCTCCTATTATGATTGAAAATCTTGTGGAAGAACTAGGTTATGGGATGGCAGGGAGGGTTAAGGTTTTCTACTATGTCCCCATCCTCACACTTAGCAGAAATGGTCTCAGGGCAATTAGTGATGATGAACAGGCTTCCAGAATGCTAATGTTTCTTGATATTGGTCATCATTTTTCAGTCTCTTTTTGGATCATGATGATAGCTTCTCTGCAAACCTTAGTGAGGATGATGTTGTGAATCATCCAAGAGCAACTCTGCCACCAATATTCAGCCCAACAAGAAGAGTTCATAGCAATGCAGAGAATGCAGAGAATGGTGAGGCAGAAGCAGAGCATGGAGAAGCTGAGGCAGAAGCAGAGCATGGAAAAGGAGAGGAAGAAGCTGAGGCAGAAGCAAAGCATGGAAATGGAGAGGAAGCAGCACCTATTCCCTATTCAAGTTGTGTATCCTGATTGTGATGAGGTGGAGGATGTCAACCAATATGAGTTTGTGAAGAGGGCATTAGTTCAGGCGGAGGATGGTAATCAGAGAGATGAAGAACATCGAGAGGTAGAAGTTGATGCAGGTGGAAACATGAGAGTGAGGAGGAGTGCTAGGCAAAACCATGTGAAGTATGCAATGGAAGAAGAGGATGGAGCAACTGATAGTGATGATGAAGATTATGAACCTGATATGCTTTTGGACAGTGACAATGAGATAGGACATGATGATGATGATTTATATGCAGATAATGTAGATGAGGATGAACCTGAGCAGAGAGATGAAAAGAAATCAAATGAGAAAGCAAAGCAAAAATGGAAAGATAGAGTAGTTCCTACCAAACAACAAAAAGGGAAAGAAGCATACCACTCTGATGAAGACATGTCAGAGAATGATGATTTGTGGGCTCCTGATTCAGATGATGAAGAGCTCAATTTGAAGTTCAAATCCTTCGGAGAAGAGGATCGTCATAAGCCAAAGTTTCATGTTGGGAAGGTGTTTGAGAGTGTAGAGCTGTTAAGGACTGCCATCAAAGAGTACTCATGTCAGAACAGAGTTGATATCAAGTTGTCTGTGAATGACAGGAAGAGATTGAAAGCAAAGTGTGATGAAGACTGCACATGGTACTTGTGGGCATCATATGACAAACAGGACCATGGCTTTCATGGTGAAAAGATATGTGAGTGAGCACACATGCAACAAGAAGTGAAAGATTAGGGCTTTCACAGCTAAATTCCTAGCACATAAGTACCTAGAGATGTTCAGGGCTGATCAAGACATGAACCTTATGAATTTTTCTAGGGTTGTTCAGAAAGAATGGCATATGACACCAGGTAGGATGAAGTTGCAGAGAGCTAGAAGGATGGCAATGAAAATAGTTTATGGTGATGAAGAAGGACAGTACAAGCTTTTGTGGAATTATGCTAATGAAGTTAGGAGAAGCAACCCTGGCTCATCATTCTATGTCTCACTTGATGAGAATGCAAGGTTCAACAAGCTATATATGCATCTTGATGCTTGAAAGAGAGGATTCCTTTTGGGTTGCAGGCCAGTGATCTTCCTTGATGGCCGCCACATAAAAACAAGGTACATAGGTCAACTACTTGCAGCTGTTGGTGTTGATCCAAATAATTGCATCTTTCCAATAGCAATTGTTGTTGTTGAAGTGGAGGACACCCCTAACTGGGTGTGGTTCCTTGACACACTAAAAAGGGATCTTGGAATTATCAACACCGAACCCTGGACTATCATGTCAGACAAGCAAAAGATATATTCTGCTACTATTGATCTTCATCTTGTATTTGCTTCATATAATGTTGTTGAACATATAGTTAAAGGCTATCATTCATGCAATGTGCAGGGTCTCATTAGTGCTGTTGAACAACTATTTCCTCAGTCAGAGCACAGATTTTGTGTGAGGCACATGTGGCAGAACTTCCAGCAGCATTTTAAAGGGGATATTTTGAAGAACCAACTATGGAAGATAGCAAGGAGCAACACAGTTCAGTTATATGAGAAGGGGGTGGAGGAAATGAAGCTACTTAATGCAGATGATCACAAGTGGCTTCATGAGCTGGAACCAAACACTTAGGTGAAAGCCTTTCAGAGTGATTTGCCAAAATGTGATATACTACTGAACGATATATGTGAAGTTTTTAACAGGTTAGCATGATCATCTTTTGATTGTTAGGTTATTTTTTATGCTTAGGTTATTTTTGATGCTTAGGTCATTTGATGGTTAGGTTAATGAACAACATAATGTGACATTGGCAGGTATATTCTGGAGGCTAGGGAGCTGCCAATACTTACTATGGTTGACAGAATATACAGACAGCTTATGAGCAGGCATTATAACAAGCAGGTTGAATCAGACAAGTGGCCAGACAATGTATGCCCTAAAATCAGGAAACAAGTTTCGAAAGCATGTGAGTTTGCAAACACGTGTTATCTGGATTGCTCAGGTGATGGTATGTTCCTAGTAGGTGACAGAGGGACAGATTACATAGTTGACTTGCATAAAAGAACCTGCACTTGTAGAAGAATTCAGAAATCTGGGATGCCATGTTCTCATGTGGTAGCCTGCTGTAGGCATGAAAGAATTGATCCTCTTGAACCGGTTGACCCTTGCTACTCCAAGCAAATGTTCAAGAAGGCATATGAAAGCCTTATCTACCCTTGCAAAGATAGGAGAGAGTGGGAGGACATGTGTGGGCCCCCAATCTTGCCACCATTGTACCAGAAGC